ACCTCCTTTGCCACCGCCACCGCCAAATCCACCGCCACCGCCGCCGCCAAACCCGCTTCCGCCTCCACCTCCGCCGCCGCCGCCGCCGCCTAAACCTCCGCTACTTCCGCCACCATAACCTAAAAAATAAGAAAACAAATGTTGTAGGCATATACACATTACTTATTTACATTTCTTAAGAATTATGCAATTCATAAAAAGATGTTTTTATGTATAATCGTTAAAGTTTTGTTTAAAAAACTTATGAATTTAAATAAAAATTTTATTATTTAAAAATAAGTTTTTTAATGTCAAGGTGATATCTTTGCATACTTCGACTTGTAAACAATTTACCTGGGGCAGCGTGGATGCAAACGAACAGGCCAAAAGCCAAAGCGACTACTGCAAGACGCGCCATCTTGCCGTACTGTGCTGATCTCGCTTCGGGACCGACTTTATATACGTATCACTTCAAGTCACGATCGGCCAAATGTTTACAATGATCGTAGCTTTTTGCTCTTGTCGTTTTTTTTTGTGAAGACCACTATAACAAAGGTATTGTAGCCGATGTATAATAAATAGAGGTAGATGGACGATGACTCCTCGAGATTGTCGGCGTAGGAACGTCTGGAAGACCTATTATTTGAACCTATTATCCATTACTTTTTTCTAATACCAGATAAAAAGAGGCAATCAAAACGCTTACATGCTATTAACTATTGATATTTAGGAAATAATTTCGCTACAATTTGTTATGTTATAATTAGCTATTTGATTAGTTTATATAATAAAAAAAAAATACAACGATGGCTGATGAGACCATAAAGTCAAATGGGTTAATTATTAAACATCCCTAGAAAATTTATATGTATTTTATTTATGTTTTAACTAAAGCATTAATCCTTTAGGGCTTTGAAATTACATCTATTTTGCATTACAATAGTAATTAGATATTTGTTCCACAAAGCATTATGCATACTAAGTAATATTTAAGAAACATTAGTCATAGATTTTTCCTTATCTTAATATTAAAAGTAAGCATCGTTTTCAAAACAATTCGCTGAATCACTTGGAAGTTATTACAACTTGACCACTATTAATTAACGTTAGCAGGTTAAGCCACAAAATTTTCATGTAATCATATAAAAACCACAGCTTCAGTATCTTTTAAAAGTTTGAAAAAGGATAAGGCTTAATTTTGGGAATTATAATAAACTTACAGATGTTAGTTATATTAAGACTAGCCGTCGCCCGCTACTCCGTTCGCGAATAAAAATACAATTAGTAACGTACGTGTTTTCCAGACTATGTTATATATGCCAAATTTCATCGATTCGTTTGGCTGATTATTTTTTCATCAAAGATTTCTTGAGAGAGCATTTTCTAGAGATATCTTCAAACAAACATCCATTATTATTTAAACATTCGCATTTATAATATTTATAAAAAGTATTCGACAGTTTTATTTTTGTCAACATATCAAGTTTTATTATTCTTAATTGCAGAGCTTTTTACATTATTCTATTTTAAGGCAAGTGTGATGTACTCGGGAATATCTTTGACGAGTGAAGAAGCAAGTTAATACTTTTTGCTCGCCTTTTTTTACTGTAGTTTTTAAGACGTATGTACATCGAGTTCTGATTAAATACGATTAAGTAAGTCCACTGAAGTACTACAAGTAAACAAATCTTCCACTTCACAGCTAAATTTTATTTGGTACCAAATTATTTGGTACAATGCTTTAAAATAATATTTTTATTTCTTAAAGTAATTTTTTCAGATATTTTAATTTTATAAGAAACATGTTTTATTTTTGTTTAATAAATAAATCAAACAGTACTTTCAGATTAGATATTGGTATTAATTTTGTAATTGCTATCAAAGTTTTATAAAAAAATATATTCATCATCATCATCATCATCAGCTCACTATACGTCCCCACCGAGGGGCTCGGAGCCTACCCTAAATTAAGAGTGATTAAGCCATACGACAACCAGGCAACCACGCTGGCCAAGTTAAAAAATATATTACATTTCCTGTATCACACAAACAACTGAAAAATCGACTTTCAAGCCTTGAAAAGATCTATATATAAATTACTTATATTAACTATAGATCTAATTACTAGATCTCTTATCTAATTTTCAAAGCCAAAATAATAAATCCAGCTATTGTTTGCCTACGGTTAAAGTCTGTGATACAAAAGCAGTTATCAAGTTGTTGTATACACAACTTATTAAATAAGTAACTTGTTACATGAGGAAAGATATGATACAAAAATTATTTCTAGGAAATGTTGCGACTATTGTCGTCTTGTTCGATTATTCCTCGAACGTCTCGCGGCAACACGTTAATTAAATGTAGTACTTGCACTAAAGCGCTCAAGTACACTCCAAAAAAATTATTATGCTAATTGGTCGGCTCGCACGGTGGAATACCACGACCACACAGAATACAAGCGTTTAGTGGAAGGTATCCTGCCTTTGTTCATTTTGGTTATAAGGAAAGGATTCTAAGGAAATTGGATTCCCCATTTCCTGTGCGCCCCCTCCTCCGTCGACATGCAACTGCAATTACGGATGCGTTTGGACAGCGGTCGCTTCGCTTTTACGGCGTATACAGTTGACCGTGTGCCATCTTAGGAATAATAATAATTATTATTCCGTCTCTTTCATTCTCTGTAAACAAACAGAGATGAATAATATTGTCATTTACTCGCAGCGACAGTTGAAAATATATTATTATATAGTATATTATTTTACCAATGTAATATTATAATTGAGTCTAAATTAATTTTAATTGTTTACATGAATCTCTGAGTATTCGATAAACATCGCTTAGTAGTACTACAACGCTGGTCATACTTAGTTTCGTATATTCGTAAATATTTTGTGTGCAAATATTACGTAAGTGTTAATGCAACATTTCGTATATTTATCTTTTCTATAATAGCTGCAGTTTTATTTTTCTCTGACACGTAAACAAAATAACGATGGAAAAATATAATATTCTTAAATAATACCTGTAACCTTTGATGATTAAAATGTCGGAGATTAAAACGACGTTTTCTTTTAAACGTGAAATCAATTTGGATTTCACGGTTCTTTTTGGAATATAGGTCCTCGACAACTGTAGTGTTTCTATATTCAATACTAGCTGTCGCCCGCGACTCCGTCCGCGTGGTATTTAAAAAAAATATAATTAGTAGCCTTTATGTTCCTTCAGATTATGTTCTACACATGTGCCAAATTCCGGCAAGATCCAAACAGTAGTTCTGGAGATATCTACAAACAAATATCGAGCCATCCATCCAAGCATTCGCATTTATAATATTAGTAAGATATTAGTAAAATTATTTACATTTGCGGTTAACTAATCATTAACTAATCGCGAAATAACCATAGACATACAGTTTGTTTATTTAAAATAACAGATATTTTATTGTTTTTTTTTAAACACGGACAATAAAAACCTCTTAAGTTTACCTTTTACTAATATTATAAATGCAAAAGTTTAGATGGATGTATGTTTTTTTACAAGATATCTCCAGAACGCCTGCATGGATCTCGCTGAAATTTGACATAGGTGTAGAACATAGCTTGGAATAAAACAATGACATTATTTTTTTTATTGCAAACTTACGGAGTCGCGAGCGACATCTAGTTACCTACTAAAACTTGTTTGTCATACATTTTCATCGATCGGTTGTTTATCATTTTTATTCTGATTTAACTTGAATTAACTTGAATAGTACTAACTTGGTTATGTAATATTATTCATAGTGTTTGCTTGTACCATTTATGCAAATAAGAAGTTTGTTCAGTATTGATTAATGATTCTCAACCGATTGTTCCGGGTTCAAGTAGAATTCTAAACGATATAATATAGATTCTATTTAAATTAAACCAGATTAGGCATCTATTTGGTAAAGTTATATTTATATTTCTTAATCAAGTGATCGGTTGTATAGTAAATATTTTGTCTTTAATATGAATTTAAATAAAAAAACATTGAATTAAAAAATCTTATTGCTATTAAAAAAAGTTGAATAACATTCATCTTATTTTAGAAATAAATAATCTTATAATTACTCATAATTGTTATCCCCACTTTTTGTATAATACATCATCGCTTTGGAAATGGTATTAAAGCCAAGAAACAGAATATGCTAAGATGTTTTTTTTCATAATAAACAATAACAATTTTAATTTAATTGTAATGTTGTGGATACATAAACATTTCGAAGAACATCGTCATAACGAGACATAAAATAAAATGGGTTTTCTGTTAAGAAGTCGCCCATGAAATTACGTATAAAATGAATTCTTGTTTTTCTTAATACGAATTATAAGATTATTCAAAATTCATTTTATCATTTAAATAACAGATTGAGAGACTGTTTTATTTGCCCCTTGTCGTTTGATAGGGCAAGAGTATGGGTTTTCCCCACTATGCTGAAATGGTAAAATGTTTAATACTAAATCTAGGGAGTATTTAGTTAAAGGAATTAATAGAATAAAATACTAGTCGTTGATGAATTGCGTATAGTTAACTACACAGAGCTATATGGTGACTTCTAATTGACAAAAGCGTTTTTATAACAATGAACATATAGATAAACTTGCTGTCGCCTGCACATCCGTCCGTGCGAAATTAAAAAAAAAACATAGT